AACAGCATGGAAACCTGGGACTTTCATGGAAACCTGGGACTTTGGCTCCTTCACTGCTTTTGTCTTTGGCCTTGGACTGCTCCTCAATTCATCCAGCACTCCGCTTACTGATTCATGCCCCTTCTTCTTAGCGCCCAACATTAAAGCTCATTTTTCAGTTCTCCCCCCAGATCTCATACTCGATCTTGCTTTTCTGGTACTAAACTCTGGTTTCCCATGGGTTTTGCTCACCTGCTGCTTACCTGACTGCCAGCTCCTCTAGCTTTGTTAACTATTCATTCCATCCTGAGTCCCTGTGACCCCCATTCAGTGAGGGTCCATGTGGATGGGATACTCCCCACTGAGTCATTTTAGCCACTGCATCAAGCTAGAAACAGACTTCCTGCTTGCTCTCCCCTACCCCCAGCGGCTCTGCATCACTGAATGGATCACAGAGAACTGCCTTTGTAGTGCTCTGAGTTACTGATCTTGACACACTTTTGAGCAAGAATTATTAGGAACTGCTATCAATAAAATATCAGAAACATACTTATGGATTCTATGTACCAAATGCTCATGTCACAGAAATGGGAGACATGTTGCTGCTTGACCTAACGATTATTTGTTTGAGTAGATAATAAACACATACACACATGCACACATTCTTAATGAACAGTCTCCATGTTATTCCTATCTTCCATCTACCCAGTTTCCATAATCCCGTCCCACAGGTAATCACTGTTACTAATTTCTTAATGGAAACTTAAACATTACTGTTCATAAGTAGTTGCTTCCCCTCCCTGTCGGAGGACTATACATCCCTGTCCTATTGTCAATAGGCCTAATCATATGACTTGTGGTGCCCTTCCCTACGGGGTACACATTCGTCCCTGGAGAACTCAGTAGTGGTCATGTGAGTTAGTTGGTCAGAGAAATGTGGGCAAAAATATTGTTTGGTTCACACCCATGTGGAAGCTTGAACAGCCAGTTTATGGTTTTCAATGTCTCTTTTCCTCTGCCATGAAACCAGTAAAGTTCCTTTAGGGGATGACCCATTAGCCTGGGTCTCACAGTGAGGATGGCATAGAACAGAGCTGTGGCCAATCTATAATGGACATGAACTGTAAGCAATAAATAAAGTTTTGTTGCTTAAGCTACTGAAATGTTTAAGTCATCTGTAGTGTATGAATAAACTGTAATTTACTTAACCAGTCTCTAATATCAATATTTCAGTTGTTTCCAATCTTTACTAATAATAACATAATGAATAATCTTGTACATATATTTCATAAGTGTGCAAATACATCTGTAGGATAAATTCCTACAAGTGGAATTTCTAGATGAAAGAGTATTTCACTTATCATTTTGATAAAGTTCACAAATTCCATACTGCTAGGGATTGTATCTGTGAAGAATGGGAATTCCAGAACATTTAATTGTGCTCATGAGGAATCTGTACATAGATCAAGAGGGAGTTGTTCAAACAGAATAAGGGGATACTGCATGGTTTAAAATCAGAAAAGGTGTACATCAGGGTTGAATCATTTCCCCATGCTTGTTCAATCTGTATGCTGAGCAAATAATCTGAGAAGTCGGACAGTATGAAGAAGAACATGGCATCTGGACTGGAGGGACTCATTAACAACCTGCAGATGACACAGCCTTGCTTGCTGAAAGTGAAGAGAACTTGAAGCATTTACTGATGAAGATCAAAGACTACAGCCTTCAGTATGGATTACACCTCACAATAAAGAAAACAGAAATCCTCACAACTGGATCAATAAGCAACATCATGATAAATGGAGAAAAGATTGACGTTGTCAAGGATTTCATTTTACTTAGATCCACAATCAACGCCCATGGAAACAGCAGTCAAGAAATCAAACGATGTGTTGTTGCACTGGGAAAATCTGCTGCAAAGGACTTCTTCAAAGTGTTGAAAAGCAAAGATGTTACTTTGAGGACTAACGTGTGCCTGACCTAAGCCATGGTATTCTCAATAGCCTCATACATATGCAAAAGCTGGACAATGAATAAAGAAGACTGAAGAAGAATTAATGCCTTTGAATTATGGTGTTGGCGAAGAATATTGAATATTGAAGTCTGTCTTGAAAGAAGTACAGCCAGAATGCTTAGAAGTGAGGATGGTGAGATTTCATCTTATGTACTTTGGGCATGTTATCAGGAGGGACCAGTCCCTGGAGAAGGACGTAATGTTTGATAAAACAGAGGGTCAGCAAAAAAGAGGAAGACCCTCGACAAGATGGATTGACACGGTGGCTGCAACAATGGGCTCAAACATAGCAACGATTGTGAGGACGGTGCAAAACTGGCAGCCTTTGACTCTGTTGTCCACAGGGTTGCTATGAGACGAAATGATGGCACTTAACAACAGGGATTTATCAGTATAACTCCCTTCAATAGTGTATGAGAGTGTCACTTTCCTCAAAACTCAGTGACAGAGTATGCTGCCAGATGTTGGATTTTTGCAAATCCGATAGGTGATAAATGCCACCTGATAGGTGATTAATTTGCATTTCTCTTACCATGAAGGAAAAGAAAAAACATTGCCATTGAGTCAATTCTGACTCATAGCGACCTGGTGGTGCAGTGGTTAAGCATTTGGCTGCTAACCAAAAGGTTGGCAGTTTGAGTCCACCAGCCCCTCCTTGGAAACCCTATGGAGCAGTTCTACTCTGTCCTATAGAAACCCTATGGAGCAGTTCTACTCTGTCCTATAGGGGCGCTATGAGTCGGAATCGACTCGATGGCAATGGGTTTGGGTTTTTTTTTTTTTTTTTTTTTTGGTACCATGAAGGAGACTGAGTATCTTTTCATAGGTTTACGGAAAAATCTATCTCTATTAACTTTTCCCTGATCTGACTTGAATATCTTTGTAAGAGTGCCCTGTTCTGTGTCTGAACCTTGACGAGAGGTGAGTGTCTCATGAGCACTATTGATGATGGTGAACCACATGAATCCCTTGCATCCTGGCACCTAGCCAACTGGGAGCTCAATAGCTCAATCTTTGTCTCCTCAGACTATCACGTGAGTATTTTATTGTTATCTCTTCCGTGGTTTCTTCACCAGATCCCCTCATTTAGGCCCCACTAGACTTTGGTGAAGTTACCAAATGGCAGTACAGTTAGTACGGTGACCATTAGCTCACTGAGGAGAGACCCTGACTCATCCCTGAATCCCAGAACCTAGTGCTCTGAAAGCTCCTGTGAGATGAAGGAATAATGGTACCTCCTGGCCCACCTTATACTCTGTATTATCTACTGTCACTCTCCAAAAGGATTTTTTTTTTCCCTCATTCATTTGTCCTTTCAGTCAGGCCCCTATGGGAGTCATTATCAGTACTCACCATACCCTATTCTCCTTTCTTTCCTGGGAACCCTGGAAATGCTATTTATTTCCCAGCTTCCTTGCCAGTGGGTGGGGTCATGTGACTGCATCTGGCCAGTGAGATGTGAGAGGAAGTGATGGGTAGCACTTCCGGGCTGAGGCAAGTAAAAGTCCCGCGGAATGGTCTAGCCTCTCTCTTCCTCACCTTTGCAGCCAGCAGCATTCTATGCAGAATCCCCAACCCACCTCCCTGATCTACAGTAGACTTTGTGTGAGAGAAAAATGAACTTTTAAGTGTTAGGCCATAGT